ATCATGGATATCACTCAAAGAATTCCAAGATATAGGAATGATGCTACTACTGATTTAACAATGAAGGTCTCTGATCTTATTAATGCATCAACGGGCTTATGGGATAAGACAAAGATTAGTGAGCTTGTGGTTAAAGAAGATTTGGCACTGATTTTAAACATCAAACCATTGTTGTCAAATACAGATTCCACCATCTGGTGTCTCTCTAAAGATGACGTCTACTCTTCTCAAAGTGGTTATCGGTTCCTGGAGGGCTTAAAAGAGATGAACATTATGTCAAAATAAAGTTGTTCCCCCGATTGAAAAGAACCTTTGGTCCAGTCTTTGGAAGCTGAATACCTCTCCCAAGATCCGTCACTTTCTCTGGAAATCCTTAGCGGGAGCATTAGCGGTCAAAGAAAGACTACAAACTCGAGGCATTCTTGTAGATCATGCATGTTCTTCATGTGATTTGATGCTTACTGAGAGCATATGCCATGTTTTATTCAATTGCAACAAGGCGAAAGAAACATGGGATTTGGCTCAAATTCCTCTACCCCCATCAAGTTTTTCTCAAAACTTTGAATATCCACCATCTTCTAGCATGTAGTCGGAACCAAACCTTATCTTCTGATGCTAGACTTATGTTCCCATGGATTCTTTGGCACTTATGAAAGGCTCGAAATGCCTTGTTGTTCGAGAATATTAGTTACAATGATGCGGCCATCTTAGAAAAAGCAAAAGAAGATTTCTCAATCTGGTTCAACATTCATGGTTTTTCTAAAGAGGCTTCGGCTCCGCCTACCAGAGCGTTACACACTCATAATCATGCTTCTCCCTGGACAAAACCCCCCCATTGATATGGTAAAATGCAATTTAGGGGCTGCTTGGCATGATGGAAGCTTTAATGGTGGAGTGTCGTGGATTACGAGAGATTACAAAGGCAAAACCTTGTTTCACAGTCGTAGATCTTATGCCAATCTATCTTCATGTCTTGAAACAGAATTATGGAGCTTTCTCTGGGCAATAGATTCCTTAAGAGATCTCAGAATAAGAAGAGTGATTTTTGAAGCTAATTTCTGTCAAGCAAAGGAAGCCCTTATGCAACCTAGTAGCTTCCCTCCTTACCAAAACTTGATAAACCGTATTTTTTACAACCTGAGTTCCTTTGAATGTTGGAGCTTGGTACATGTCAGTGAGGTATCTGTGGAGTTCCTTCGTGATGGGCGTCATCAATCATACATTGCCCGGGATTCTCCGTGATGGCTCGATCATCTAATTGCGGCGGAAGCTATGGCATCAACATGAGGCCATCGGCATCACAAAAGGCAGGCCTTATGGCATTGATGGTCACGTCTCTATCTTACTTTTAATCCCTGATGGGAAGAACTTATCTATTTCTGGTTTTGTAGCTGCCTTTTGGCAATGCTCTGTTTTTTCTTCTGGAATTTGTTTCACACTCTGTTTCTCCTTTCATTACTTAATAAAGCACACCAGCGTTAAAAAAAAAAAGAATAAAAAATTTACCTAATCAACACCATATTATTAGTCATACTCATCCACCAAAACCCAAAATCAAACACTTGATTCAACTATCTCGAGATCAAACACATAGAATATCGATAACAATGGGCTTACATAGGGTTCGGTAAAGAAAATTACACCAAACCTAAATTGAACTCAAGCCCAAATGAAATTGAATCTGCAGACTTGAATCCACGTGTCCTCATCATGATCGAAGCATTATCTTGATAGAACGTTGAAACTTCCATGCTTCTTCCGATGAACGTTTGCAGTTTCCGATCTTCCCTCCGAAACCCAGCTTCATGTCCTTTTTCCTAACCACTTGCAAAATTATACGGATCGAGACTCCACCAGAGATAAAATTCGGTTGAATCAGAAATAGATTCTAGAAATTTAGTTTAAACTAAATCCATCCCAATACAATCGAATAATATCAACACCTTCATGAAAGGATATGAAAGAGAGAAGAGAGGATCGATGAAGAGATTCAACAGAGAGACAAACAAAAATGACCTAATTTTTGTATTTTTGTTTAGAGAATAGAGAATCACTCAATATGTGACACGTTGGGGTTCTAAAGGGATTCTGAAAGTCCTCAATTAAAAACCGATCTTAAACTATTTGGATTAGAAAATGTATTTTTTATTTATATTTTAAAAGTTTGGAAACCCCTTTAAGAAGCTCTGATGGAGCTGCTCTTAGGAAGAGAGTTCAAATTTCACTCTTCCTAGAAATATTCTCTTTCCCAGCCTTGTCCTTCCAAACAATATATGAATGAAACCATGATTCATAGACATGGTTTCAAATTCAACCCACACTCACCCTCCGAACAAATTAATTTTTGGTTGTTGCCTCACTAGGTTGTGAGAGAGCCATAAAGGAAATCTCTTATCTTTCTTCCAAAGACCATCATGACGGGTCATGTGTACACGTTCCATCATCATCCTAAGAGGAATGACCGCATCCTTCTTCAGCATATCAGTCTAGGTGTGAGAGCAGCTCATCCCCGTAGATGATAGAACTCCTACACAACGTTCTTGATAGCGTGAGATTAATTAAACCTAATGATTTAAGTATATATTTTGATTCTCTAAGCATCTATCACAAGATCATGGCAATATTCATTTTAGTACTTAAAGGTCATTCTTCCACTAGGAATAGTTAAGGACAATAAGAATACAAGAAACCAATAAAGCTAAGTTGATTCAAGTCTGTTGGTTTTACTAACAATTCTATCAACCTAAGTGAAATGATGAAAATAAATAAGAAAAAAATAAATAAATGAAACTAAAAAATAGAAGAAACCAAACCATAACAATACTAGATTAAATTAAAGACAAGAAATGCAATAAGAGAAGAGTCAACAAAAATTCAATAAGATAAAGCAAAGATGATCAAATTTGATTAAGGCATGGACATTGGATAGAGATCATAGACGAAGGGTGAATAACATGTAATTAGTGATGCAAAATCATACAAGCAACCGTTTCCAAGGATCTATT